TTGGACTTTTTATTTAAAAAATTGTAGTAAAGTCAAAAAAATTATTTTAGCCGCCATTTTTCCAATATGGCCGCCAACTTTGATTTTTCTTATAGAACACCCTGTATTTTATGATGTATTCTGGTAGAAAATGTGATTTTAAGACGATTTTATTCTTGTGATTTTTTTCATAAACCTAACCGTTTCAAAGATAATAATGGTTTAAGTTGTGGAATTTTGAATGGTTTTCGAATAAAACAGCTGGCATTCTTGCTTAGGCCTGTATCGAAACTCTTTCTCATGCAAAAATTTCAAAACTTTAACCATTATTATCTTTGAAACGGTTAGGTTTATGAAAAAAATCACAAGAATAAAATCGTCTTAAAATCACATTTTCTACCAGAATACATCATAAAATACCGGGTGATCCATAAGAAAAATTAAAGTTGGTGGCCATATTGGAAAAATGGCGGCTAAAATAATTTTTTTGACTTGACTACAATTTTTTTAATAAAAAATCCAAGGCACTTACCATTTAACTTTTTTTGATATCTCTTATAGTTTGCGAATAAAACGGCTGGCACACTTATATCAATCACCCTGTATTTGATCTAATTTGCCTGGACTACTAAGCGTAGTAGAGGAATCGTGTCAACGTGAAATGTAGTATGCTTCTTATCTTCGTATGTTTATGTAAAAAGTATAGTTTTACTGCACTGACAAATTGTGCCCATTTAGGAGAGTTCCTTTTTAAAACCAGGCTTACATAAATAAAACAACAGATTTGACAGAAAAATGTCACGCAGTGAAATCTAAACTATAAAAAATATATTAAAATATAGTAAATTAGTTACGAGACTTTTAAAACACAACAACAATTAAGGAGAACTAGATTAAATCCTTTGAACACTACGTTTTAACATCTGGTGTTGTAAATTTTGCCACGACTGCTGGAGTAGGATCATTAAGGATACATAAATAGAATTTCTCAGGCAGTTGCATGGGAAAGCATATTTCTATTGGATCATAATAGGAATACTGAGCATGAGCCAATTAAAGAACCATAAATCATAGTGAGCTGAATGCCAGTCACGTGGGACGCCGACGGGGGGCAACTAAACAAGGTGTTGATGGAATCAGGTCGACCTTCAGCCGTGAGGTACGAGCTTGTGACCAGCGGCTCTTGAAACGGTGACGAAGTGATGGACGATTGCTGTAGCGGCAACTATAGCACAGACGACGCTTGAAATAAAGATCAAATTACGACGCTGGAAACAGCAGAGAAGAGGGTAACGGTTCTTGGAACGATGGGGAAGGTACTATAGTTCCTGAGGCATCGAAGGACTCTTCCACTAACGCACGCGGCGTCGGTGTTACCGACGATTCTTGACATAGTGGAGAAATGACGGGCGAAACTTAAAAAAAATTGGAAAAGTCATGAAGTGACAAACGGACGAAGAAAGACTCTCGAAAGACTGGTCGACTGGCTAAGTGATGAACGAATCTTGGAACGACAATAAAGTGATTGACAGCTCTTGGAACGGATGACTTTAACAAATTTAAAAACAGTCACAGAGTGGAGAATGATCCTTGTAATTGCAACGAACGTGAAACACGGCTAAACAGGTAACAAACTTATGCCTCATAAAGACTTGAGTACTTGAGTAATTCAGATGACCGAATGAGGTGATCAGAGTGCACACGTCAATTATTAACGGATGACTTAAGCTACTAAATAGGGTCTAGGATGAGTAAAAACATTACACATAAATCAGATACGTTCAATTTGAAATATACATAAGAGTGGGTCATTCTGATCGGGCGGGAATTGTCTGACACTGATAATTTTACTTAAAAAAGCTGTCAATAAAAAATCAAATGAGGATCCGTCAAAAATATGAAAATGTTGACGGGCGAAGTTGGCAAACAAAACTGTGAGATTTGTTTAATGTCTTATCTAGGTAATATTAGAGTCAAATTATGCCACTTTGATAACGATCTTTTCTAAGAACGCAATTTTAGCCTGTAAAATTACTATACAGTGCAAAAACTATTGTAGAATCATTATTTAAAAAACTTCGTGGTCCAATACTATATTTTTTATATCAAAACTGTTAATGTATAACTCTAATCATAAACTTTAATGATCATCATCTATGGAGGAAGAGCTATCCATGTATATTAAAATTAGTAATATATGTATTTTGAACGTTCCCTAATAATCTATTCTGATTGGTTTGGCTTAGTCATCTTAATTTATTAAATTACTTACACCTACTAAATAATTTCCTTTAACCAGAAGAGGAAGCATGAAGAGTCTTCCTCACAATGCTCATAACCTAGTGCAGACTACGAGTGTGATTAGGAGATACTGAATTGCCAAGTGCACTTAGCACTATCGTATATGACTTTGGCGGGGCTTTGTGAATAGCCAAGTGTAACAAAATGTAAGGGTTTACAGGGTATACTGTCTAAATAATTACCAGTACATCACTATGGTTTAGTGGTGTGACATTGAAAAGTAAAGTTGGTGCTAAGCTGTATTGTGGTTGTATAGTTTGACGAGAAAGAGTTGCCTACCATGTTCTTTATAAATTACTTCATACATAATAAAAGTTTGTAATCTCAACAACGTGATTTAACAATGTGATTTAATTGTTCTATACTGTATAATTAATACGCCAACACGAAATTTGTCCTTTGCACTCCTCCGCCATTTTTTTTTCCGATTTTGACCATTCACGTCTCACTGGAAAAAGCGAGTCGCATAGAATTGCAAACTGACCTTACATTTTTGAAAAAAGTCCCTTGGGCTCTAACCCAGTTGCTTTTGAAGTTCTCATATTATCCTTATGAAGAACATTATACATATGTTCACATTATGATCAGATGGATAATTTAATTGCTGTTAATATTTACTTTACAATTTAAGAAAACACATGTATAATAATTTAATGATTTGGTTGAAATTAAATATTTACTCTTTAAAATTGGGTTTGCGTTCATATTAAAAGAGAAAAAAGTTGGAAAGCCTGGAAAATTTATAGAATCCAGTTCCAAATAATGACATAGTACTATACTTGTTGAGCAATCATTGAAAGAACCGATTTGTAAACTATGGAAACATAGTTAACAAGTCATAGAACACCACGAAGTAGAACATGAAGGAGAAACAAGTAGAAGAAATATAGATTACGTTTTTTGTTTTTTTTTTTTAGAATTAACTATCGTTATTAGCCCAAATAATGAAGAACACCTACAATATGAAGATTCCTACAAACAATGAACGAGGATGTTAGCCGAATTGCTACCATTTTTAATATGAAACATGGACTATACTATATCCAAGAACCTTTTAGTAAAACTTTCATTGAAGTATTTAACTATTTTTCACAGTCAAGGGTAACAAAAAACCATCAGGCCTTTTAACTTTGCATTTATCAGGTGAAAATAATTGACTTTATTACAGTAACTAACCAAAAGAAATCGTGACAGACAGGTTATGCTAGAGATCAGGCAGTTCTTAAGTAATGTAAACAAATGTGATCGTGACAATGGGTGATACCTTGCAGGCTTTCTGTTATGGGGAGTTCTGCTGTTATAAAGAGAAAAATAGAAAACGAATGACTACGGTACCTGAAAACTAATTTCAATTAGTTAAAAGTTAATGATAATCACATTTCTAAGCCAATAAGGATTCGATTATAGTCCCATTGCACAGTATTATTCATTTCCTTTTAAAAACAACCAGTACCTCAAACATCACAGAGTTTAATTTTGAGTTGTAATACTGAAACCTGAGACACAAATTAAAATGTTTAACCTCAGGAACTTGAGTATTGATGAAAACTCCATTTTCAGTATCTTTATAGAGGAAATGAATTAGCTGCAAAATTACATCAACTTGTGTTTAAAGATGTACATTATATTCAAGTGAGACAAGATTGGAGTGTAGTTGACTCAAAAGTCTAAATGTCAAAATGTAAGGCAGTAATTCCAACTCACATTTTCTCACCTAGCCACACTATAGTCTCTACTCAAGTGTCACTTGGATCCATTTTTCCAGCCTATAAACTACACACAAGTGTATGTTTATACCAACAGTAATTAGTAACAACCCTATAAACCTACTAGGTGAACTCGAGATTCTATCGGTCGTTTTCACCTAGGAGAACTTTTATTTTACTGCTCCAACTGTTAGAACTCGTATAATTGACTCTCAAGTACTTCCGCGAACCGAATTCACCTCCAGTTGGAAACAGACATTTAAACTTAACATTTTATTGGCCGTAAATGTTTACTACGTCTTATCTTTACAGCTTCGCGCTACATGCTCGGCGGCTTGTTTAATTAAGCGCGAAGGCATTCGAGCGAAGGTAAGGTAGTCTGCGGGAAAGGGGATCGATAAATTAAAATAATAAGGTGATTTTTGTGCCACGTCTGCCACTGCTTATCGTCTCTTGCTTTTATGGAAGTATTTGAAAGTGTTGTACTGTTGCCTTTTAGGGTGTCGTTTGACTAGAAGCTTACCACTTTGAGCACTTAAAGTCAAACTAAGACCAACAAGTGGGAATCTGTTTTTGTAAAGGGTTTAATGTAAGCCTTTAAGATATTGAGAAAGCTGAGAAGGATAACATTAAGTTCTGCAATAGACAAAAGAATAAAATATTCCTTTTGTCTATGGTTCTACCGAACTGATTTATGGTCCTTCGAGTCGGATTTTTCTTGAAGTACTTCATTTAAACATCTAGTTTGTTTGTAACTTTAACAGCTGTTCGTGGCTATTGTCGCTTTGGATCGTACATACAAGCGAAACTATGAGGATATTGGTAAGTAAGTAAAAATATGAAATTGATTGAAATCCAGCTTATCGGGTGGTAGGATATTTTAAAAGTACAGTTCTTACATGAAAATCAAGTGTTGCTACCCTTTTAGTACTGATAAAGTGAAAAGTTAAGCTTCCTACCACCAAATGCCTGCCTAGCAATAGTGCAGGATTTTCAGGTTATTGTTCCACCTACCTTGATATCTAGATGGGCTATCTTGCGATGATGTAGGTAAGCCAATCCTTCTACTACGTGTTGAATAAACTTGACCACATCCGACTCAAAAGGTACGAGATTGTCGTCTATGATGGTCTGCATGTCTCCACCAGGGGCGCTGAAAGGTCCAGTTTTTATCAATGTTCGGTAACGTAATACATGTATAAAACTAGTTAGATATTTTCAATAAAATAAGTTTACAGGGTTTTAAAATTGTAAACTTATTTATTAAAAATACGTCAAAGTTAAAACGTTAAAATATTTACCATTTGAAGCATTTAATTGAATAACTTTTTATCATGAAATGTCGAGTATACATTTTGAGAATGCAATATCAAAACATTCTATCACCGCAATTAAAAAAAATATTTACCTTTTAACCTCAAATAACAATGATAATGCAAATGAAATGTTTATAAAACATCAAACACATTTAATGATAAGTAATCAGTAAAGAATAGTTCGAAATGCATTCAATTGGAGCCGAGATGGAGAAAGAGTGACAATAAAGTGAGCAAGCCATTTAAATCGGATAAATCTTCAGCGGCGAGTAATGGTCTATTCTGCTGACCGTCGCTAAGCAAGCCGATACCATCAGCAGCGGCTATTAATGGCTGTTCACATACGTACTACATGTCGCCTTGAGCTGGATATCCAGGTTTTGTTACTCTAATGTGTACAACTTCAGTTGCCAATTGGACGACGACGACGACGACACATTTACTTTATTTGTATTTAGAGATTTGCAAGCTGGCGTGCAGAGTGTAAATTAGTTTGATTACTGTGTGTAGTTGGTCATTGCTCTAGTATTTTCATTATGACAAGGAAAGGGTGAACATACACGTTTAAGGTACCTAGCATTTTCATAATATATTGTATAAATATGAAAGGTAATCATAAAAAAACTGTTTGGAATGAATAAAATATTGTACAGTATTTTGATTATTTTGCCAATAAAAGAAAATATTTTTGCACCTAATATAACCATATATATTGCGCTGGTACAAGAGAATCATAGATGCCAAATAAGACACCTTTGCTTGGTGTTAGATTAATTGAGTAACAAGTTTAACGACTTGGATACTGCATAATCCAATTATATTAGAAGAAAAATATTCGAAAAAATCAAACTATGGTGTGGGTAAAACCTTTGACTAATGATAGATACATTCCATATCCATTCCAAAGCTTTGACCAGATTTGGAACGACGATGTACGAAGTTGAATTGATCCACAGACAGAGTGAAGTCAATTATTGTTTCCTGCCAAATACGCACACTTTTAAAGAGAAAAAGAAAAATCCAACTTATTGTGAGCTTCTTTTAGGACTCATCCCATCATTAGCTCATTCAAATGTGTTCTATTTGAATCGATTGGTCACATCATGTCCATATAGATATGATGTATATGTCGTGCATTAATTGCGCCAAGCCCTCAAAGGGTCCCAGCAATTTTCCTTTGTTGTACCAAGCCCAAGAGGGGTGAGTTGCCGCCAGAAGGAATGCCCTTGTTTACGTGTTATCCTAACCTAACCAAACCTACTCAATTGTACAGTCAAAAGAGGGCAGCCACTTGGCGTAGCTAAGGAACTATCGGGTGGTGTATCCCGTAGGTGCAATTCAGGAATAGTCAACTACCTGACTCAGATCAATTGGTGCAATTAATCTCCGCCCGATTTATATTTCAGCATCAGGAGTTAAGTGGTAAAACGTAAATTGCCAAAAATTTCACCAAATCACGAATTGTAAAAATATTGGAAAAATAGCTTACAACTCCATGACGATGATGACCTCCGTGCTGGACTGAAACACGTCGTGTAGCCGGACTATCCTGGGCGATGGAGAACACAGAGACAGCAACGCTATCTCATGGTGGATCTCCTGAGTGCAGTCCTCTCCGTAGCGAGCTCTGCTGGAGAATTTGGCGGCAAAAACCTCCCCTGTCTCGCGGGAACGGCAGCGGCGCACGTTGGCGAACAACCCTCTGGAACAGAAGAATATACGGTTAGAACTTGAGAGGTTGTGGGTCTCGAGAGAAAAAGGGTTTAAAGCATGTAAAAATACTACTGATTATTTTATGCATTGGGTATGCATTATTTTATAAACACAATTTTTAAAACTAAGCAATCAAATCGAAGGCCGTTTTGAGACTTATAACTTTCATACTTCATTGTGCAACTCCTGGTTAGTTTGCAGAGATTTTGCTACGTATATCAAACATAGTATAAAGCACACATAAACTAGAATGACTGAACACCGGCAAACATAGATTATTTAATGTCTAGAGTAGGGACTCTCAAATAGAGCAGATAAGACTGGAACTAAAATTGAAACTATAGTTTACCCAGTGGTTATCACCGAGACTTTAATAGAGGGATGTACCGATGGTGCACATGCTTGAAAGTTTAAGTATACCAATAATCAAAGTCGTTTAAAAAATTTAAAATTGAGAAAACGAAGATAAGATTTGACTGAAATTTCAAGACAAAAGGGAAGTAAGTCAGCGAGCCCTGCTGAATTTTAAAATCGAAGCATAAACAAACACTATTAAATACTACAACAAGTTTACAGTGTTGAAATTTGAAATTAGTCCTATCAGTTTTGGAGAATACAAACTATTTGGTGTGCCATTTTGTAAGTTGATTACACAAGAACGAGGCCGAATTGAGCAAAAGTGATCCATGCAACAACCATTTAGCTAGATGAAATTACGTGACGTATCAGTGGGCGATGTTCACAATATGTGACTGGTGTTGTTCTACGACTTTGCCCTCTTGTGCCTGAGAAAATTACAACACAAAGATGTTGAGTTAGGTTCACAAACGTCATGTCGGCGTGTTTACCCAGAAGTAGGTTATCCTTGTACTATGATTAGCATAGAGGCAGACTCGAAGGCAGATATATCACCGGCGCCACCGGTCAATTAGAAGGACCTCCGTTGGATGGATCGTAGCACAGATCCTTGCTGACATGTGATACATCAACATCTACCACGTCACTGCCAGCGAGGCTAGCAGACCACGTGGTCAAGGAATCTGGTTACTCGAGCTTGTTAACTATCTGGTGTGTGTTTAGGATTCCGTAATCAAACTTTAAAGTAGCCTAGTGATATGTGTCATATGTTCTTGTAATTCCTTATTCTTGTGTAATAGCTGATGTTGTGTTTGCATTTGGTAAATAGTTGCATGGTATATCCTGTCGAATAAATATTTATCATGTTATATCAATTGCTTACGCTATCAGTGTTGTTTATGATAATAAATTAACACTTTGAACCAGTAAGTTGGATTCATTTTATGTTAATAACTGTATACAATGTAAATCGCTGTTGGATCAATACTTCTTAAAGTTTTGAATTCTTTGCACGAGTCAACGTCAAATTGGCGAGAATAATTTTGTTTCTTAGTCTGCTATAATTTAATACATATAAAACTAAAATTGAAATTGTTTGTATACATTTCAGTAAAGTTTATAAATATAATCTTAAGCGAACAAATAAAAGTGTAATGACTTATTTTACGTTTATCAATGAGGTTCTTTAAAAGTAAATAACGATTTTTGAAACTAAATCTATATTATTCAAATAAATCATAATCCAATATGAGAACTATAATTATCACGTTGTTACGAATTTTTAAGCGAGAATTAAAAATTCAACTATATTTTTCATGGCATTTAAGTTACAATCGATCTGCCTGTTCTCCTTCAAAACGTTTGGACACATATATAGTTCATATGAATTACATTTAAAAAATCACATTCCCAAAAAAGGGAAGGTTTAATGTTGGATATATATTCCATAACTCACTTGGACTTAGTTGTGGAATGAGGAAATTAATAAAATTAAAATTAATTAATGTATACTTCATGTTTATTTTGTCACCACATGCACACTTTGTAAAATCTACACAAAGTTGAGATACAAATCCCCATTTTGTTTGAACACTCCCACAGAGAAACACATATCCCCACACAACCTTGTGGTGACATTCCCCAGTGATGTTATCTCTTATCAAGGCCGTGTCATGTGTCATAGCAAGTCGTGATTGTAGTATCACTATGGCATGTATCTAGGTCGCCAGCTAGCTTCTGATTGGCCGAGCAGCCCACCAATAAACAGCGTCTCTGGCGTCCTTCCACCCAGCCTTGTGGGTAATGAGGTATAATTCTACCAGTAGCCACTACACTGCTAGTGGATTTACGGTTTAAATTATTCTGGCCTCGTGTCCGATGGATTTTTAAATACTGCCAGCACTGAATCTTTCACATCGGTGAATGCAAATAAGTATGGTTTAGCTTATTGAAAATTTAAGATGCTTGAAGAATGATTTGTGAATGTGAATTTCTCTAAGATAAATACCTTATTTTACTAACAATCAACGCAAAAAAACAGTTTAAAAATACAGTGAATACTAAAATAATTATTTTCAAATTAGAGTTTGAATGAAATAATAATTTTACGTCGCATGTAACACTATTCGTTTTGATGAGATAAGTATATATATAAGATTGGTGGTATAAACTGAACAGAATTTGTTTGTATAATTTTTATGTCATAGTTCAGTACATCATATTTTGTTATTATCTACATAAGAGGCTGGAGGTACTTAGGTATGATATCGCTTTTCAGGGTATGTTCGGTTAATAATTGAAAACAAAGAGTCTTGTAACGACACCTATCTACTTGCACACGTATAAAACCAGGGCCGGGGATAGTAGCTAGTACTACCTACTATCCCCGGCCCTGTATAAAACCACCAATAAACAATACTTTGTACGCTCACCAAATTGATAAAGTAATAAATTTCAAACCAAACCATTGATTGTAGATTTCACATTTAAATGATACATTTCACATCGCAACGTATAATTTATTTCATCCTGGTAGAGAGACCGGATCCAACCCGAAGCTAATTGAAAACAAGAGGCAAGCCTGCAAGATTACAAGCATAAACTGAATATTACTCATCGGTGCTGATGACGCTTATTTGCACGTAATTCGTTTAATGATGATTCTAAAATAAGTGTTATGATGCTTTAGGACGCTGTTTATTCGTGATGGATGACGGAAAAGAAGCGGTCCAAGCACACACCCCTGAGTGATGCCTGGTGAGTGTAAGTGTGTAGGTTGGGTGTGGGTGGTAGTCATGCCGTATTTAAATGAGCTCACTTCGCTTTATTATCAACCCTGCCGCCGCCGCCCTAATCACTAGCTACGCACGCGCCGCCGTGCCGTACTCCCGCGGAAAACACGACCATTAGACCGTCCTTGGCGGGAACGCCGCCACTTAGAGGCAAAAACCGACTTCCGGGTGAATTACCCGCAGCGCTCGTTTAGAGATGCGCTCTTTTTACCTTGATATAGTTATACTCGTGATAGTTTCTGTGGATCCTCGCGTTTTTTTGTGGAGTTAAGTGGATTAAAATAACAAGTGTCTTGGATTCCCCCAAAATTTCTCAATACTTAAATGTACAGTATTATCATTTTAGTAGTTTTGGTGCAATTTGAATAGTTAAATCACACGAGCATGAGTGGAATACAATTAACAAGTTGTCTACGCTATTGGAATAGGAAAATTTACTTTTTTTAATCATAAGATAATGATACAATTAGTTTTTATTATTAAATTATTGTAATATTTTAAGTGTCTAGAGATGTTCTTTCTTATTATTTCGAAAACAGATTTTAATCATTATTGATTCAAAACACCGTATCGAAAAAATAATAACATTACAAGTATTTTAAAGAAATGTTTTAATTCATTTCTCAGCACAGCTTTTAATTATACAACTTTAGGTACATATGCAACTTTTGGTAAAAAAAAATATTTCATTTGAATCTCGACTTATATTATATTGTAATAAACTATGATACTCAATGATACTGTGTATGTAAATAAAATATAACTATTTTTAAGTCGCTGACCAATGATTTTCTTTTTAAGTAAATGCTTCAAACATAAGTCAAGCCATTTTAATAATCAACACCTTTCCAGCCTGATGCAATTATACCAAGAATCACCTTAGGCAATTTACGACTTCCCATATTGGCCTGTGGCAACGTCGAGTATCAGATGTGTAATTGTCATTGGCGATGTACGTGGGCAATTTACGTATCGATGGCAAGCGATATAGACAGCAGACATATCATTACGAGCGATATCTGGTCTCATATGTTGGGCTCAAGGCGGTACAATATCAGCTGAGATTCGATCTCAGGACCTTGGTTACATAGTGATGTCCTTTGTACACAGATCGTGAAACGGAGGGAGAATCGAATGTAAAATGCAGATGTAGGTGAGGTTAAATTGATATGCTTCTAGGCAAACCTCCACCGGACCGGAGGATAAAGTGTTAACAGATCTGCAACCTGATTTAAAATTGTAGAAATTTTAGGGTAATTCAACGTGAAATTATAAAAAACTGATTTCAGGAATAAATTAGATAAATTAATTTAACCGTAATTGCATAAAATTATAAAAAGCTCCAATTATATCTTACATGTATGAAAAACACTTTTTGGTTTTTTCACTCATATTTGGGTTAAAATACACACACAGTGGCGTCCCTATCTTCAATAATTGATTGATTGACTACAATTCTATTCACTTTCGCTATAACACAGTTTATTAGCTGTATTGTTACCCGACACTTCAACAATATACACTGTAATAGATTATGCTGTAAATTGTTATACTGTAATATACATGGGATGTTGTAGCCTATTCTGTTTTGTGCATAGAACAAATAGATTATGAATTGCAATTTAATTCAATTCAATAATCTATTGAAATAGCTTTGCCATCATAACCTGGAAATTGAATGAATAAACCAAAGGAGGCTTGGTAATATTACGTTCAAGTGGTCTATACTGTCAGGGTGGCAGTAACAAAGCACACCTTTTCCATTTGCGTTCACAGGATCTACCAATATCGACAAAGTGTTTGCAAGAAGCGACAAAAACTGATCCAATACTTTCAAAAG